AGCCGCGAATTCACGACCGTCGACCCCAGCTCCACCACGCCCTTCATCGACGCCGCTTGGAGGGTCACGATCGACTTGATCAGCTTCCCGGTAGAGACGGACGAGAACAGCTCCTTGGCGTCGTCGAGGTTGACGGGTGTCCCGGCGGCCGGGGCCGGCTTGGTGGGATTCGGGTCGGGTGTCGTCTCGGCGAGGTTCAGCTGGTGGCCGGCGGGGGTGAAAAAGGGCGAGGCGGTGGAATTGGGGCGGCGGGAGAGGAGGGGGAGGCTGCGCAGGAGGTGTTTTGGGCGGTGGATGGTGCGGCCGGCCATTACCGGATTGAAACGCCGAGATTGACTAACTTTTGGTGGTAGTATAGTGTGCTGTTTGTGGGTGTACTTGAAGGATGTGCGTGTATTTATAGAGCAGCTGTTTTGAGCTTAATTTTTTTTCAGTTAAAGAGAAAATGCATTTTTCAGGGGTTTGTAGGGACGACCGCGTCTTTCGGCTGGAAATTTTGAGCTCCCCGCCATTGTTGGATGATAACAGAGATTCAGTTTCAGATGAGTAGATGCCTACTCAGAATCATCCACTCTAACAGTACTAGTTAGTTAAATATTAAAAGGAATGAGGGCATGATTCATTGGGGACCAAAGGCCCATCTATATAACATACGGCCTTCAACCTCTCTTACAAGATCATATCTAGACAGGCCTTACTCTAAGCCCAATAAATAGCCAATGCAAGAAGCTATGGTGTAGGACTGCAAACAAACCGAGTGGCTCGTGAGCGCTCGAGTCAAAGCTCGACTCGAGCTCGAGTTTGATCGAACTCGAGTCTAATTAGTCTATTTCTAATGTACTTTCTAACCAAAAATCATTATTACCGGTGGCAAATTGTCTAATTAGTCTATTTCTAATGTACTTGTCGGCAAATCCGAGTGTGCGCACTTGAATTGCATATGCTCACACAATTAATATTTGATCGGAAGGTTATTAGGTGTGAGTTGTTTTGTTCAACATATACTTCTTCTGATAGAAATGGTATATTGATATGAAATCAAGGACCTTTATCCATAATAATCACAAGTATTATCAAACAGATTTTGAGTCACAACCAATTTTTGAATTTAAATTAAAAAAAAAAAGTCGCGAATGATATTGTTCTGCTCACACTCTTTATTATATGCTATGTTATTAATAGATATACAAGAAATGCAACTGCCCTTCACTTGTGTGGTTTTACAATGTTTCGCATATGCATATGATTTTGGTTTTCTCAAGTGTACTCTTAGTAACTGCCCTTCCAATGTGTAATGGATCTAGTTATGTTGCCCGCATGAAACGGGAAGAAGCAAGAAAATTCCCTTCCAATGTGTAATGGATCTAGTTATGTTGCCCGCATGAAACGGGAAGAAGCAAGAAAATTCATTCTACCGTGAGCAGTTGGTGAATGCGTGTGATTCCATAGATATAAACCCAGTGTGGGTATTAGCTTATTAGGATCGAACTTATCGGAAAAAACATAATAATATCCAAGAAAGTCGGCTTCTTGAAATGAAAAGAATACTATTGTCCCGTTAAATCTAACTATATCTACAAACAAATGATGTTGCTGGACTGCGTAGCCGTCAGAAAGTCGTACTTTCTTATAAAAAAATATGACATAGACTATGAACAGAAAGAATACATGATGTACCGTGTCAGAATACAAGTTTTGGACTATTGACAATTGTTTAAAGGATGTCCATCAATAGAATTCAGAACGGACGTAACTTTGCGTTCGGGCATCAGAATCACTATTGTAATGAGTTTGCAAGAAGCGAAAAAAACGATGTTGAATGAACTCAGTGTTGGTATATGTGTCCTAGAGACAATCATTTTAAGGACATATATACATGATCACTTTAGTAATTATATTGGATTATAATTATGGTATTGCAATTAATTAAATAATTGTTTGATTGTTTGCAATTTATTAATTAATTGCTCCCTTAAGTTGATATTGTCATTAGCAGAGTGAGATGTTAATTGATAAAGTATAACTCTAAAATCGCCTCAATCGATGATCATTAAGAAATGGATATTAATGATACACGATAGATTGACATGTGGTCTGCATCATATTTTGGAGAATATAGTATGTCTCACTGCTATGAATAATTGTTATTTGTGATGGACACATGAATACTTTGGAGAGTATTGACATACCCTACCGATAAACCATTTGTTTATGTGTCTATGGGAGTATCGGTGTGTGGAATGGTGTAATAGTCCTTTGACTTGAGGTCAATACACAATTCATGTATAGAGTGATTTACTTAGACCTAGTCCAACGCTTACGCCCTTATGGGTAGACACGGGCTCGTGTTGGGTAGATCACGGTATACATGGGATTGGTAGTTGAGCCAAGATAGGATTTATTCCTCGAATATAGTTTTGAGAGAACACTCGTTTTCTCTATACTGGGTTGATAAAGTCATTGGCCAATGCACGTGATTATATTTGAAATGGTGTTAAAATATAATTGATAAAATCAACCAGTGAGATGAGATAAAATGATTAAGCTGTTTGGATAGACACACGTTCAAATCCTAAGCTTAATCGAGTGAGTCGTGAATGAAGGGACCGTATCACTATTGAATTCTACACTAAAGGTTTGTTTGCTTGTCCATGTAACGTACTTCATATTTTGAGTTCGTCATTCGACGCAGTCTAGGAGTTTCGTAAGGATCATAAATTAGATTTATGTCAATATATGAAGGCCTATAGGGTCACACAATAAACAATCAGTTTTCCGACTAAGAGTGAATCGAGAGTGTTAAATATTCAATTGGATTAGAATATTTATTTATGAGTAATGAGATTATTTTCTATTTGATAGAAAATATTTAATTAAGTTAAATTAGATTTACACTTAATTAGTAATGAATAATTTTCTATTTGATTAATTAAAATATTAATTGGATTAGGTCCAATAACTTATTGGGCTGTAGGATATCCTAAGGCCCATATAATTATGTTTTGACCTAATTATAAATATCTCAATATCTCATCATAATCACCAATCGTTGGATGATAAGAGAGACTTTGTAAGATCCCAAAGATCTTAGAGATTGAGAGATCAACATCAAACGACATAAATCCTCTCTAGCTTTCTGGATCGAGGATTCCTAGCTTCTTCACCGGAAAGATTCATTGGCGTTGGATCGTGCATCGGGAAATTGGATTGCGTGGATACCATAGTTGAGGATAAACGACGAATAACTGTAAGTTTTCGTGTATCGTTCACGCGATCTAGGATCATATTGAATAGCTATTAACCGGATCTTCGTTGTTGGTAAGAAAAATTTTAAATTCCGCTGCGCGTACACTAGGTTCGTACGTCGAAAATCTTACACTCGACGTCTAGCGCGATGGACTAATTTGTTCTTGGCCCAAATTCAATTGTGTGTAGCTCGTCAAACCATTTTATTATTTTTAACATATTTCAATTTAGTATTCTTTTTTTTTTTTTCTATTTCATTTACGGATTGATGTTTCCAATACATTATTTGAGAATAATTCAAAATTTTATATTGTTTTCTAACACATCTTTCTTTACATTACATTATTTGAGAAGAGTTCAAAATTTTATATTGTAAATTAGGTGTGTGTGTTTTTCCTCTTTTTCTACTTTTCGTTTATTAGGTGTGAGTTGTTTTTTCTTTATTTCTTTCTTTGTGTTTTTTAGTTCCCTAAGTTCAGCTGTGTCTGACATCCAGTTTCCGTAATGGCGTTTTAGTCTCCTTTCTTGAATTCAATTTTTGTGTGCGATTATCTCCTCGATGGAGTTTGTACCTCTTGAGCTCACGTATTTGTTAAGGTGTAGGTCCAAGTTTTCTGATTCCTGTGTGTCCGTTGGCACTCCGCTTGTACTCTATTTTGAGTTTTTTCAGTTTTAATATAATTATCGTTTTAAAAAAAAAAAAAAAAAAACAACAACAACAACAATGCCTCAAACACAATCACTTGATGGGCTGAAAGAATCTTGATTTACCTAATCAATATGGCTTAACTAATAATGGGACTTCTTCAGACAACAAAAGATCTCATTGTCTTTTAGACCCACATACAATTAATTTCTAGCATTTTCCAACTCTTAAAGAGTAGTTGCATTGACTGAAGCTGGATACTTTTTTCTCCTCCAAGATCCCTTATTTGATTTATGATTTTAATCTCCTTAAGATCTCCTTCCTGCTAATAGATAAAACATGAGAAGGGCAATACAGTACAAGGGTTGATTAAAAATTAGTATGACCTTCTTTAAAAACCTATGAATTTCCCTTGAAATTTGTTTCTGTTTACAAATTACACTCAAGATTAAAATATAATGCAAAAGCTCAAATTTTGAAAGATGGATAATCTAATTTTAAGAGGTTGTTTTGAAGCTATATCAAAATTAGAGAGCTTGAACAGTTTTTTTGTTTACCTCATGAGTTGCTTGTCGAGGGATGAAGTAGACAAGAGACCTTTGTTCTCTTCAGCTCGCCGAAGAAGATAAGGTATGACTTGCTCAACTGGCCCAAACGGCAAATATTTGCTAACCTTAAAACCTGCGTTTTTCAGTCCGAACGAAAGTGCTTCCGCCATTCCATATAGCTGAGCGAATTGAAGATTATTGTTCTCCCTTTTGATTCCCAAATCAACTGCCTTAGCAGCCGCCATTTTACCTATACACAAAACCATAATAATACCAACTTGTCAAAACACTGTTTAAAACTGAAAGATCTTTATAGGTTAGATTTACAACTTCCCGGACAAAAAATTCCTCTTATCAGGTCGTAAAACGAACATCATCCTCCTCCTGGCTCCATTGTCAAAACACAACCGATCCAAATGTCCAGAGGATAACTTTTGCCATTCAATCTTGATTCTTGTCAACTAATCGGGACATACATTGAGGGAGATTTTTCCACATCCTGTATAAGTATTATGCAAGCCCAAAAAGACATTGCTTCGCAGTGTCATAACGATTCAAGATTTCCTTTGAACAGTCATTAACAAATTGTCAAATTGGTTATATAGGATAATTTTACAGAAACCATCGCTGAGGTTCGACGTGACTACAAAAAACTCAACTGATCTTTCGAAAATCACAAAATACCCCCAGCCAAATTTGCAATATTTGTCATTTACTCAAAGTAGCAACTATGGTCCCATAAGTCATATTTTCTGCATATTCCGGGTTGAAGAGAATTTCACGAATAAACGAAATATAAAACGAGCCATTCGGCACAAACTTCAAACTTTCACGAACCGAAACTGCAGAACTCAAAACCGATAACTAAGCATACACCCCCACAGCCACAAAAAACCACAAACTTAAACGTATTTATCAAAAACAAATTCAAGGGAGGGCATCCGTAGATTTTGAAAGACAGTTATGATCCCTTCTCCATTACGTCAAACCTCAGAGACAGCTCCCGTAATCTTTCCCCACACGCTAACTCCCAAGAAAAAAAAAAACCATTTATCACACCACCAACAAA